ATGACACTTGCCTCGGTGATCCGGTGGCATTTCTAGTTCAATACAAATTGCTGTACAAAACTCTGGGGAGTCCCGAGGCGAGAGGGAATATGTATGTAACTTACCCACAGTCCGCGATTTCCGGCCCCCACCCTCGGGGGTCCGGACGGCTGACCTACCTTGCCCGGTCGCATCTCCCTAAGCTCCTCCTCAGGACACCATCCCGGGTCACTTACCTTGCCCCCTCCGGTCGCATCCGGCGCCTACCGCCCCTCTTCTAAACCTGAAGCTTCTCCCTAAGTTCGTTCTACCAGCCGGCGATCCCGTGCAACTTACCTTTCCCCCGACTACGACATGCCCACGCCGCCCCCCGCCCACTGGTTGCCCTGTCGCGAGTCCCTAAGCTCTTCATTATCAATTCCAAAAACGCAGATTGTAATTGATGGCCTTATTGCGAATATTCAGACCCGGAGGGCTCCGATCGGTCTTCTTTCGGTCGGTCTGAAGGCCAATTGAACCGCCCCCTCACAGCGAGCCATCCCGGGTTCTTTCTCCTACCGGCCGCGAGCCCCTAACAATCTGTACAAAATTCGCTCTCATCACTCTTCATGTACGCTGTAGTTTCCAGCTGTTATTGTGATAGATGAACCCAAAGGAGAACCTTCAATTACGTTATTGTCTTATTGCATACATATTCCCGACTCCCCGGTCCCTCAAAAAAAGCCCTACTACTAATCTGTTATCTTTTTCTTCCGAAAAGTCGATTTTACATACATATTTGCCGAAGAGTCGCAAAAGGGAAGAAGTCGCACTGTGTATCTGTTATTATTTTCTTCTGACAAAACAGAAGAAAAGCATGACCGATAACAGTACAAACTTCTGAGCCTCCCCAGGGAGTGTGGATATATGTATGTATGGAACTTCCGCGTAAGGTGGACTTCTGGAATCAATATGGAGGGCAAACATCGAAACCGGTTGGCCTTCCTCGTGCTTTGGCCGTGAGCGAGCCCCGAAAGTACGACCGGTAAAGCCGACCTTGCCAAAAATCGCTCTCATCGCTCTCAATTTTCTCCGAATATACACCATTTATTACAATGTCCACGGGGACTGGCCGGTGATTGCGAGAGTTCGACCGAGCTTGCTAAAATTCGCTCCCATCACTCTCATCGCTCTCTCGCACCATAAATTACAATGTTTTGCAGTAGATGAACCGGGGGTGTTAGTGCGCGGCTACAGCAGGGCAAGCGGTTGGCCGGGTAAGCAACCCTGCCCAATTTCCCCCACAACGCTCTCATCGCCCTCTCGCACGATCAATCATAGCATTCAATTAACGGAATGGTCCTCAAACTGCTCCGAGGGCAATTTCACCTGAAGCTCCTGTTATCCTACATAACGTTGCGCAGCAGCGCAGGTGCTTCAAATTTGATTTCAGTAGTTGAATGGGCTCAGTTCAATTCGGGGAGATCTGCTCTGCAAGAACCTGGCAGTGGGGCTGTGAGGTTGTGGTACTTTATTACGTTTGTGCAGCTAGCTCAACTGTAAGTTGGCGCCCTCCCCGCTTCAATTGGACAGTTGTCGTAGGCAGCTGCCAGCACAGGCGCGCACAGGACCCGACAGGCTTTGTGGGTGCTGCAGAGCGTCAGCCCCTCCCTTAGTCGAGCAGGAGGCAATTGTGCAGGCAGCCCACTTCTCAAGCACGCAGGGCGCGACTGCGCAGGTAGCGCAGACACCCGGTCCATCAGCCACCCAGTTTGCAGCCTGTGGGGAGCCTGTGCACAGCAAAGGCAGCCAGGCCGTTTGGCGCGCGGGGAGGAACAGCGCAGGCAGTCCTCTCCTTCAGGCGCGCAGGTTGTGGCAAGGCAGGGCAGCAACTCTGCCACGCGTGCTGGACGCTGCACAGGCAGCGCACGCAGCTCAAGCAGCCCCTGCGTGTGAGGAGCCTGGGGCGTGATAGCGTGGGCAGCAGGCATAGGCCCCGGCGCAAGCGGGCCGTCAGGCGCACGGGGCGCGACAGGGTTCGCAGCGCATGCGGTACAGGCAGCGCCTCCCCTTCAGGTGTGCAAGCCAAGCTGTGAATGAACCGACAGGTCCAAAGGTCGGTATGTATTCGAGCTGACAAAAAAGTAGCATGCATGTGCAACTGAAAACAGCTGAGGTCTCTTTTGAGGCTGTTTGCATGACATAGGCGCAGCGTTTTGCCGGTAGTTGGGCAGCTAGTAGGAGGCTGCAGCAGATCTGCTGTCACGGTGTTTTTGACGCTCTCGAATTTGCGTTGGAGCCACAGCCGGAGGACCGCCGCGCGGCCCGCGCGCGCATGGTATACGTATACGTAAGTGCGCGGTAGCTAGTAGTACCATATCCCGCGGCCGCAACATACTAGGCATTGATGCTTAGCAAGAGCATCAGACCACCACTCTCTATCAATAAGCCCACATGCATGGTCAGCGGTGCCACCCAGAGGTTTGTCGATTGATTGATGCAGTTTAAGTTCACATGGTTAAGATCACACACTAGCCGGCAATATAGACTGAGCAATATAGACTGAGTCCATATGTATTTGCGGATCAATATGGGAATCCTCCCGGGATCGGGAGGCTTTAGCTACGGCGGTCCTGTCACACGAATCCTTCTTGACATGGTACTCAAAGCATCTCTTGGAGGCAGGACAGGCTGAGCCCACAGAGCAGCATATTGTCGCTGTTGTGCACTGAGACGCGTAATGCAGAGAGGTCGTTGAACCGTAGGCAAGTGCTGCACTATCGTCCACTGAGGGTTTTTTTTGTGTGCTCCTCTTTTTGTGTGCTCTTCTATACACATGCCGCACTCAATCTTCTTTTCTGGAAAGACCTTTCTGTAAGGCTTTTGAAAAGACAGGGTTGCGTACATCGCGTATGCATGTACCGAACAGTTCCTATTTCAGGCTGACGACAACAAGGACGGAGGCTGTCCATTGAAGAGTTGGCGGCTCATATGCGTTCTATGATATACAGAACGATCGACGAAGATGCATGACGGGCTCTTCCTGCACGGCGTGAGTTCTAGTATGAAACTCCAAAGTAGGGCCCCGGATGTAGCTGCGAAGCAGCACACCTGAACTGAGTGTGAGGTGGCAAAGACGTATGATCTGATTTGGGCAGTACGTCATTTACCCTCCATGCACATCGTCCTCGACGACTTCGTCCCATCTTCATGCTTCTCATGAGACGGCTACCTTTGGTCGGCTGCTTGCACGCGCGGCTGCAGAGCTTGCATCCCGTGCCGAGTGCCCTGCAAAGAACCACCAGCTTTGCAAAAGCTACAGCCGCGCCATGATACGATCCTACAGCATAAGAAATATGCATGATGCTGAATTGATGCGCGGTACTTGTAGAATGTCATGTGTAGAGGGACTGGTGTAAATGTTTCTTAGCATATGAACGAAATCAGTGAGGCAGCTAGAGTATGTTTAGAGCTAGGCCTTTCTATGATCCATATAATAAACATACACCCATACAACCTCAACGATCTGAAGTTTGAGGAACGAAGGCAAAATTGGACACGTGCTCAATAGACCAGCTGACCTTGCCGGTCGCTTGTAGATTTAAGTCGGCGCGGTGCCTTTATCTGTGACGATGGGACTAAGGGCATCCGAGTATAATTCGTAGACCTTCACCGTGTTAATTCAAGCACAAAAGCCCCTCGTTTATTGTTGCGGTCTCTGTAGTACTCTACCGGGCCTGGAGACCCTGATGAGAAAAAGTTAAAAGTAACGAAAGCTCCGCTTATGTACAGGCCGAGGCTTGGAGCGACAGTCCTAACGCTTCAACAAGCGCCAACCTAAGATGCCCATCACACTCGATCCAACGGCAATGATGGTCCGGCGGAGGAATTTCTGCCGCTCTACCTCCTCTGCCTGCAGCTTCGTGACGGTCTCCTGTAACCAAAACACGGGGCCTCAAAGACAAGCCCCTCAAGACCTTGAACAGCACGTTTTCCCATGACGAAGTTGAGAGTAAGTTGCCGACGACTCACACAACGTGCTGATTATAGACAGGAGAGAAAAGGTGACCTCTCCTCTGCCTAGTTGCTCTCGTGGAGCCGTTGCACACAAAGTTTAGCAGATAGATCCTCGCAATAGGTGAAGCCAGCAATTGCACGTTACCTGTATAGTAGCTTGATTCTTTTTCAACTCCTCTATTTCTTGCGAAAGGGCCTCCTGCAACCATTGTCAAAATCGACTTTTCAGACTTATTGACAGAAAGGATAATGCCAACGACTTCCAAAGGCAGTAAACAGTCAACTTTTGAGCGCAGGCTCAGCAATTCCCTTTACCCTTTACAAGGAGGCGATGACAGTGTTGAACGAACATGTGCGCAGGCAGAACGTGTGAGTTGAAAGTACTTAAAAGGACCATGCTCACCTGGTGAGAGCTTAGGTGCGAAAGGTTAACCGTGTTTGAATGACACGCAACAAGCGTGTCGACAGCCGGGTGGAGAGGCACGAGGAGTTTCACCCTCCCTACAAAAGCAAGGAACGAGTATAAACTCGGTGGATTCAGTCCAACGAAACATGAAAACCACGACTACCTAAACAGATACGCCCTGAGACTTCTAAGATACAAAGGAAGAATAGAGCATGCTGCACATGAGCGGAAGATGACGCGAGAAAACCTACCAAGAACGGAGAGTATCTGGAGGTACGGGTGGCGACCATGTGATTTGCGGAGGCCGTACTCCGCGTCGTGCAAGTGGCTGCTCGTGATGGTCTTCACCATGACGCCAACCCAGAGCCCCGTGTCCACGAATCGCAAAGGATTCATTGACCCCGTTCGCTCGAGAAGCCACGCAGCAGCCTTGCAGTCGCTCTGTGAGGTCTGTTGGCACAGCAGCACAAAAATCTTTAAGCAACCGGTCAGAATCGCTATGAGTGACCCCTCAAACGCACTAAGTCGAAGGGAATCTGATTGGATAGCCAGACAAGAAAGCCTGAAGGGGCTGTCACTTTTGCGACTATGGACTAGCTGTTGAGAAGGAGGAAAGCGTGAAGTTGCCTCGACGGTCAAGCTCCATTTCAAAGTAAGAACGTCTTACAGACACTGCTATGTCGTTGAGCCCATCCAAAAGTCTTACCTTCCGAAGCAGGATCCCCTTGCCTCCGAGGCCAACCTCTACCAATGTTTCGCCGTCACCCTCACCCGAGCAAGTCACTAACGTGGACCACTCGTCGTCAGGTGAGAGCTGCACGAAAGGAACAGGTGCATGAAGACGTGCTGCACTTCAGACCAATTGGAAAATGATGCTAACCACATTGCGAAGCAAGTTGAGAGCAGACTTGCCGGAGAACGATGGAGCTTCTTTTGTCAAGCAGCGTTACAGAACTCACTCTCTCGACGGAATGTTCTGAAGGATCATGTACACTGTACAGCAGAACCATTTGGACGTGCACCAGCAGGTCCCTAGAGAACTTTCTGGTTCTGCAGGAAGAACCGCACCAACCACAGAAGGTTAGTTGACTCACCTGCAGATCGGAAGCAACCACCTGCCCAGCGCTGTCGTCCTGCAGCAAATTCCTCACCCAGTCGACGCCTTTGCTTGAACCCAGCCAGTCGACCTCGGTGTGGCCCTGCACATACAGAGTAAGCGATCACTGCAGCTGCAGGTTGCTCTGTGCCCAAGACTTGAGTCACTAATAGAGACAGCCTTACAAGCCTGCAGGCCTTAGACGAGAATCACCAGGATGCTATCGAGCCTTACCAGATTGGAGGAGCAACCCGCTTTTGATGGCACATCAGAAATGATCCCTCCCTGCAAATATAGGAACAATTGAGCAATCAGCTTCAACGAACAAGGGTCCATTCCTTGTTCTTCAGCAGGGGCATGCCTTGCTAAACACATCGCACAAGGTCTACCACGTCAGCTAACAATCCACATCATCGGAGGGTGCATTTGAAAGAACTCGTGAAGATAATTCTAATCGACTTGCGCTACAAGTCAAGAAGTCTACAATCGAAACCTCTCACACGACCAACTATGTGAACAAACATCTCTGCAGGTGAACCAGCATACCACTTGGCAGTTCTGAGACTCTTAATCACCAAGCCCTGAGTTACCGCAACTTTGCTCCAACAAGATTGCAGTATCAGTGCAGTCTTCATGCAGTGCCAATCTTCCGTGCAAGGCAGAGCGCATGCAGATTGCGAATTCTAAGCTCACCACTTTTCCGAAGACCTTCTGCAGGTCCTTCGGAATCGGCAGGTAGTGCTTGCCGCCCTTGCCGCTTTTGGCTTCCTCGAAGCCAGCCTTTGCCAGAAGCTGTCGGCAGTGTCGCTCCGCAATATTCCCCTCGGGGCCGGAGGGGACTTCCAACGCCTGTGTAGACAGCCTGCGGCCCGACTCAGGGTTGATCTCGCCCTCCTGCTTCGCAGCTTCGCCCTCCTGGTTTACAGCAGGTGCGGCGCCCTTGCCCTCCGGGTTCGCAACTGCGAGGCCCTCACCCTGCCGGCCAGCCTCGTTTGGCTCGTCCTCCTCGTCCTCGGTTGCAGGGGCAAAGTGCGCTTCTGTCAGCGTCTTCGGCCTCGTCACCAGCTAAGGGAAAGGATAGACAGGGACTGAGAGGGGCGCTGCGAGCTGCAGGAGAGAAAATTTCGCATGACCAGCCACACCTGCCAAAGGATCGCATTGAGCAAGAACTCAGTGTGAGTAAGAAAGAGCATTTCTTGCTGACTTTTGAAGCGCTCCCTTTCTTCATATCTCTTTTCCCTGTGGGCGAAGAGGGATACTGATAAAATTCTCCAAAACACGTGGCTGACAGCTGGATATTCGCCATTTGAAAAGGGTAAGAAGTGCGAAGGAGCAGCTTTTCTCTTATCGAAAGAGTCGGCTCTTTGCTTGCAATCGTTTACTTTTGGCGATGCGGTCCGGTTCATGGAAGGTCCGTATCTGCCGCAGAATTGTAACATCAACCTCGATGCCAACCATTTGCTCAGAAGAAGACACCAATATGCCTTTTCGACCAGCTTATATACCTCGAGCAGCTCAGTCTCCAAGTTCTCGCGGGCCTCCTCAGCGCTCGACGACATCTGCGACTCAGCAAAGCGCCAGATGGCCGCCATCAACCTCTGGCAGCTTGCAGGTCGGGGGCTCCTTGGCTGCACAGCCTCATCGGAGCCCTCAGTGTGCAGCTCGTCATTGTCCGCAAAGAGGCTGTGGTCGAAAACCTCCAGAGCGGGTCGCCGCTGCGTGTACCATAGCAGCACCTGAAGAGCAAACCACCAAACCTCAAATTTTGTAAGTTATTGCTGTGGCTGGCGATGGACTTCCAATCGTGGTCCACTGCTCTTCAATGAAACGTGCTCCTTACTCTTTGCCGCTTAGGACAGACAGCTCAAAGGCAAGGATATGTAGGAGAAAGGACCGCCCTTTGAGATGCCAGCTGAAAGCCTGTCACCTATAGAGCTTGATGGCTCGGGCCAGGAAGGGCAGCATTGCTGAGCAACTAACCTCTCTCGGGTCCCGGTTGGGGTAGTCTTTGAAGTGAAACGTCAGCTTCCCAGCAGCTTGAGCTAGAACGAGGAGCTTCAGACGCCCTGGAAACATCAGGGAATTTTTGTTGTGGAATATGCATTCAACAGCCTCAATTTCGAAACAACCGGCCATCGGCGTTAACAAGGAAAGGACGAGCAGCCAACACGCGATCTAGAGAAAACACCTTCCTTCAAAAGAAGTGACGAACATTGACCTACCTACCAGCCCCACCACACTCTTGCTGGGCATCCCTTTCAGAAGATTTGGGCTCAGTCTTGACCAGAGCACCTCCTTGGGATGCAACGCGTGCAGCACGACACCGCCGAGCTGTTCCGAGTCCGTGTCCACCGTTGCATTGAAGCTGCAACATCAAAGGCTCTGTAAGCACTCCTGACAGTGATCCATGTGCGCAAACGAGGTGTGCAGCAGCGAGACAGAGTATTCTGGCAGGGGTCAATGACCGCAGGTTCAAGTGTAAGTGCTAAGACCATGGCTGGCAGCTTCCAAGAAGGAGGAGCAATCAGAGAACAAAGCTCACCCAAAGAGTTGGAGAAGTGCAGCGTGGCGCGGTGTTGCCTGGAAGGGCAACCCGAAGTCTTCTGTAAGGACACCCTTGTAGCTGTCATCGGCGGGCTTACCAGGGGGTTTCAGCAACAAGCCCCCCCCGGCGTCGCGAACGATCGCCCTGTCGAAGTCCACGACCTTCATGGTTTCCAGACGATTGCTGCAGGTACCAATCAGGTTTTCAGAGAAGGACATCAGCAAGCGAGAAGGGAAAAGAAAAGAAGGATCACTTTTTACAGCAAGTATGACACGTACTCTGCATGTTTGCGAGCATATATAACTTGTCCCTTCTCTGGTCCACTTCCCTGTGACAGAGAACCTCCCATAAAAAAACTTGCAGATCTGAGCAGGCTTTCTAAGAAACTTATATGATTCCCTGTGATAAAGCCTCCCCGTGATGAAGTGTCCCAGAAAGGGCCCAAACCAAGCCCGGGCTTACCTGCTTATGTACACGAAGGCTTCAGGCTTTATGTCTCCATGCGTGACCCTAATCCGACGGAGAGTCTGCAACATCTCAAGCGCCACCTTGATGGTGTCCACGTTGCGGAAGTGCAATTCACTCATTGTCCTGTCGAGCGCTTCAAACACTAACAATCTGTGCCCTTCCTCAGACTCTGTGCTTGCCAGAAGGTAATTGAAGTACTTGCTTGTAGCTGTTGTAGCTGTCATCGTCTCGATGTATTTCAATACCCTTTCTTCGTGGCTGGCAAAACTCTTGTGCTTTCTTCCTTTGATGAAGAACGCGTCTTCACCAACCTTCACCTTCACATCATGGCCTGCGCACGTTTAAACTCTCTTCTTTTTCTCGCTGTTTGCCTTCTTACAGCAGCTCGGACACTCAGCACACTCAAACTCGTAGGCCTTCTGAAAGGCATGCAAGTTCTGGATAGCTACAGCTCGGAGGGCCTCCAACCGTGTAGCCATCTCTTAGACGGAGCGCTAGGCAGCGGGTTTGCTTTTGATGGGGAGCTTCGCAGGGACAACGATAGCAGCAGCCATTGAATATAGAGTCACTGAGTCATGCATATGGCAATGGTGGCTTTCAATGTTGTCTTCCGCAGTCCCGCTGGCTAGATCAAAACACCGCCCGCCGCGTGCGGACATAATCCCTCCCCACTTGGGGACCGCTCTGCCCGGGATGTCTGCGGATACGGCATTTCCGTTCCTCGACCGCACTGTCGCTCACTGTGGGCGCAATATCCCCAGCAAATGAACTTCAACCTTACTTTCAGCCGCTCGATAGCTGACGCGTGTCCCCCCCGGCCCGAGGGTCGTGCGGTCCGCGGAAATCGAGACTTTGCGCCGTCGAACTGCCAAACCGTCATTTACTGCCCATTACCGCCCTCTTGAAGTGGTGTCGGTTCAAAAGAAAAATCGGGCCTA